CTGCTGAGTCTCATACCTTACAGGGAATTTAGGGGAGCTGATGGGGACATGCCAGCCCCTCCGGTTCTAATCCCCAAGAGGAGGAGTTGCTCTTCCAGGGAATCCTGCAAGCGGTGGACAAAGCAGGCGGCTGCCAAACAACGTTATAAGGGAGCATTGCGCAACTTGAAACGAGCCTGTTCCCTAATAGATCAGCAACGTAACAACAAACATCGTTAACCGGGACAACATTAAGTGAGGAGTTACTGTACGGTAAACCTGAGCCTGCTCTGACTCTATGGATGAACAGCTCCATAAAAATGCAAAGGATCGTCTCCTGTATCCCATGTTAAGCATCCTAGATGCAGTTTGTTAGAGGGGAGATCGAAGCTGCGTCCAGGGAATGACCAACAGAAATGATTCAGTTACTTGTGAACTGGCTGGATGTGAAGTGATTTGACTTATAAAATGACCTTGAATGAAGGAACAATCTGACTGCTCATGGCAAATTTATAGATCTCCGTGCTCAGAGAGATCAGAACTATTTAGATATATCTTTACGGCCACAAATACCGCCCGCACTCTCATATTAGCAGACTGTGGAAAAGTAGCAAGAACAGGGAGACAGCTTTTTCAGTGTTCCAATTTCTGCTGCTGCTATTTCTTTCTCAAGTTAATAGAACTCCCCCTGCAGCTCTAGGACCCCGAGAGCTGCTTCCAGCAGCCTCCTCAAACTGCACAGTCCACCTGCTGTCTGGTATTTTTAAGTTGCTGCAGCTGTGACTTTTTCCTGATCCATGACAAGTTTTAACCACATCAGTTCTTTCTGCTGATCACAATGAAAGCTGGTTCTTGAATTAGTTCAGCAGCAGCCTGACAGTCCTCATTCTGGTTAAAGCCGTTCAGGGTATATCTACGCTGCACTAAAACACCTGCAGCTGTCCCGTGTCAGCTGACTGGGGTTTGTGGGCCTTGGGCTATAAAATTGCAGGGTAGACGCTTGGGCCAGGACCGCAGGGTCCCAGAGCCCAGGCTTAAGCCTGAGCCTGGACATCTGCACTGCAGTTTGATAGCCAAGCGAGCCCAAGGCTGCTGACATGGTCCAGCCGCGGGTGTTTTATTGCAGTGTAGACGTACCCTAAGGGTAAGCAATGTAAACCCAGGGTTCAGACGCAGGCTCAGCTGTAATCCCCATCCATCTACACACAGATTGCACTAACCCAAGGTCCCAGGGCCCTACAGGGCTGAAAGGTCCAAACCTGAGTCAAGCTGGGACCCAGGGTTCAAGCCCTGTTGGTTTGCTGTGTTGATGCAGCCCCACTGGACTCACTTTTGGCAGACTGCCAGAGCATATCCCACAATCCTATGGCTGATATTTTTGGTGGATAGTCAAGTTTTCCCACAGTGCATCATGAACAAAGGGCTAGAGCGGCCACATTTTGGGAGGGCGCTAGGAAGTCTGGGATTTGGGTGGCTGGACTCAGGCCTGTGTAATGCAGTGGAGACAGTGGAGCCCCAGGTTGGCACCCAGGGTTCAGCAATTCCTAACCTGAGGTTACAAATGCTGAAGCCCTAGATTAACAAACCCAGGATCTGTTAACCCGAGTTCTACTCATCCTGGTCTATATTGCAGTGTAGACACACCCAAACATGGATGCCCAGACCTTTCCCAACTCAAGCAGTAATGGCAGTTGCCCGGGGCATGAGGACTGCATGCAAATGGCACAAAATGGAGCAGTTTGCAGCTTCCCTTGTTTGTTAATCTCGGGGCATGGCTGGCGGGTCCCAGCAAGAGGTGCAGCCTGGCTGCGTGGATCAAGATGACACATTGCATACGGGGGTTACAACATCGGTGGACTTCACCTTCAGATTCAAGATGGGGGTAGCCACTGGTCGTATTCTGGAACTCCAGGGTTGTCATTTGTACTGTAGGCTTTGTGGAGTCCTAAAGCTTGTAACAATACCATTCTGATATGGCAGGGAGATAGATAGTGGGTGTGATTGTCGGTCACAGGACTGGCAGCCAGGAAGTGTTGATTTCTAATCCAGATTGGAAACTAACTTGTTTTGTGACATTAAAGAAATCACTTCTCTCTGTGCCTCAATTTTTCCTATCTGATAAACTGTGGTAAACTTATTTCCCTCCCAGAGTGGTTGCAAAGATTAATGTCTACAGCACTCTGAAGATGCAAAGCACTACAAGTGCTAAGTATTGGTATGAAAATGAGGAGTGGGGGTGCGGAATTTCCCTAAGCGATAAATAGTATCTAAAACAAACATCACACACAGTTCTATATTAAAATAACATTAAATGTACATATTTAATGTGGTGTTATGATGGTCATTAAAAATTGTTTAAGTGGAGTAGCACCCTAGAAGTTAAAGGATTGTGTAGCAGTTTATTGGGGCTTAAAGAGAGACCTTATGCCTTGCTGGTGGGTTTCTGTCACCATGTACCCTGCTGTATGCTGTTTTATCACTTAGTAGTTAAGGAGGCTAGACCAGGGGTGGGCAAACTACGGCCTGCAGGCTGGATCCGGCCCCTCAGGGCTTTGGATCCGGCCTGTGGGACTGCCTCGGGTGGCGCCGCGGGCCCCGCGCTGTTCTCAGAAGCGGCCGGCACCACTTCCCTGCGGCCCCCGGACCGGGGGGGCAGAGGGTTCTGTGCATTGCCCTTGCCTCCAGGCAGTGCCCCCCACAGCTCCCATTGGCCAGGAATGGGGAACCGCAGCCAATGGGAACTTCAGGGGAGGTACCTGGAGGGGTGGCAAGGGCAGCACACGCGGAGCCCTCCGCCCCCGCTCCCCGCAGCACTTCCTGGAGCGGCGTGGGGCCGGGGACAGGGCAGGCAGGCAGGGAGCCTGCCGTGGCCCCAGTGTGCACCGCTGCCACCCTGGAGCCGCTTTAGGTAAGTGGCGCTGGGCCAGAGCCCAAACCCCACTTGCACCCTGCCCCCCAACTCCCTGCCCTAAGCTCCCTGCTTGCACCTCACACTCCACCTGCACCCCAACCCCTGCCTTGAGCCTCCTCGTACACCCTGCACCCCTCCTGCACCCCTGCCCTGAGCCCCCTTTGCACTCCGCACCCCTCCTGCACCCCAACCCCCTTCCCAGAGCCCCCTCATACATCCCGCACCCTTCCTCTGCCCCAATATCTTGCCCTGAGCCGCTTCCTGCACACCGCACCCCCTCCCACACACCGCACTCCCTCCTGCACCCTAACCCTCTGCCCCAGCCCTTGCATACAATTTCCCCACCCAGATGTGGCCCTCGGCCCAAAAAGTTTGCCCATCCCTGGGCTAGACAGCAGAATGCAAAACTTCAGTTGCCTTCCCTTCCTCTAAACCAGCCATGCTTCACCTCTTCCTCAAGGAGGGAATTTCTTTCTTGCTTTTTGTGATGTCAGTGGAAACAAATGACTTTCTTCTATGCTAGCTAATGGTTCTGCTTCTCTTCTGCATATCACTGATCTGCAGTCTGTTAACCCTGTGCTACATGTAGCCATAGAAATCTTTGTTCATTGCTGCTATTGCAGAGTGAGGACACAGCTGATCAGCTGCTTTGTTGCTAATGTGCTCCAACAATGAGCACCAGCTGATACTATGCTGAGTGCATTTATTGATTGTGTTTTTAGTGTGTACATTAAATGTCTTGGGTTCCTGACAAGGTGCCTGTGGGGCTCTTGTTACAAAGCTTTCCCCAGACCCCACCATGCTTTATCTTTCACCCCAAAGGGGGGTGACTCCAGTTTTACACTCCTCTTTTCCCTCTCAACCCAGTTTTCCCAACAAGCAGAAGTCTGCAGAACTATCTCCCACCATGATGAGCTCTTCATTGGGCAGCAACCTGTCAGAACTGGACCGACTACTCCTAGCAGGGCCGGCTCCAGGTACCAGGCAACCAAGCACATGCTTGGGGCGGCACCTGGTAAGGGGCAGCCAATCTTGGGGTGGCGGGGGGCGGCGCGGTGCTCGGTGGGGGGGGCAGGCTCTGGCGGCGCTCGGCGCGGGGCGTGGCGCTCGGTCGGGGGGGGGCGCGGCGCTCGGTCGGAGGGGGTGGCGCGGGGCGTGGCGCTCGGTCGGGGGGGACTCGGGGGGTGGCGCTTTTTTTTTTTTTTTTTTTTTTGCTGCTTGGGGCAGCAAAAAATTTAGAGCCGGCCCTGACTCCTAGAACTGAACGCTGTTCAGCACAATCCCCCTAGTGGCTTCCCAACAGGTAGGAAGTGATGACCCATGTGTCAGTGCTAGGTATGTTGATGCCTGGATCTCACACCTCCCTCCATGTATAAATCTCCCTGTAACTCTTTCTCCCCTGCCCAGTTCATCCTCCTTTTTGCCCTCCCCATATTGTACCTGCCTCTTTCCACTGTAAGTGAGGGTCTATTGACTCTTTGTTTCTTTTCCTGTAAGATGAAGCCAGCGGGAGCCCCTCCCTGCCCAGTGGGACTGGACCTCACTATGTTGTCCCAGAGAGCACTAGCTCTTTGGGGGTGAAGGCAGCACCCCCTACAAAAGAGAAGCCAAAGCGGAACGGAGGGCGTGGGATTGAGGATGTGCGTCCCAGTGTGGAGAGTCTTTTGGATGAACTGGAGAGCTCTGTGCCAAGTCCAGTGTGAGTACTGACCCAGCTGCTGTTCCCTTGGGGGCCGGGGGCATTGGGGCAGAGATGAGTTAGTGACTCCACACAGTTTAATGACAGCAGCTAGGGGAGTGCAGTACTAGCTGGGCAGATGGCCTCCTGTTTTCTTGGTAAGGAGGGGATTTGCTCTCTCCAAACTGGGGAAGGTCAAGGAGGAAGTTGAAGATTGTGGCCATGTCGGCTTCTTTTTTGGGCTCAGATTTACTGCAACTGCCATTGAGTCAGAAGCTGCTAATGTTGGAAAAACAGAGAAGTGTAGAATGGGTCATTTCACCATTTGGGGATACATGTTCAAATCCAGATGGACCTGTCCTCCATGAACGTATCTAATTCTGTTTTTGAACCCAGTTATGCTGACTGAAAATTGTCACCATCTGACAAAATAAATTGGGTGGGTCTCAGTCTAGTTCCTAATGGATGCTTGCTCGTATCACAAACTACCACAACTGCACTAATTGGCATCTTTGGCAGTCTCCTAGAGAGAGCAAAGGGTTGGAAGTGCCACAAAAGCTGATTTCCTGGAAGGCATGTTGAGGCGTTGCAGTGACTCGGTGTGGCTCCCCTCCTGCCCAGCAGAGGGAGTGCCCTTACAGACACCCAAGTGGGCGGAGCCTCCGCCGCCTGTTCCCGCCCCCCGGAAGTCAAGGGGCAGGACAGGAAGTATAAAAGCCGGCCGCCAGAGCTCAGTGAGGCCCCAGCCACCGCAGGGAGCAGACGTGCAGCCGGGAGCTCGTGGTCAGGAGACCTCCGAGGCCCGTGGCCGCTGCCCTAACTGGCCGGAGCTGCCCCGAGACCACTACGAGGAGGAGCCACCAGAGCCCGCCCGCTCCCGTCGTTGGGAGAAGCCGGTGGGATTCCCCCACACCAACCCCGAAGGCGAGACACCACCAGGGCCCCTCCGCCCTTGCTGTTACCCGGAGGAGCCGCCAGAGTCCACACCGGACTTCCCCGAGGAGCTGCCGGGAGGAACCCATGCTGATGGACTGGACTGGGCCCGGTGTCACGGATGAGGTAGGCCCTGAGGGGGAACCTGGAAGTAGCCCGGGGGTAGCCGACCCCGGTCAGGCTGCAGACACGTACGAGCCGATGTCAGTGTGTTTCGGACAGGATACCCCACTGACTCGCAGCAGCCGCTGCTAGGGCCCCGGGCTGGGACGCAGTGGAGTGGGTGGGCCTGCGTCCCCCCCCTGCCACCCCGCTCACGGGTGGCAGGCTTTCCCCCTCACCCAACGCTCAGGTATAGGGCCTTGGGCCTAGCCTGACCACTCTTGTATTGTTGCTCAGCCCCTGCCCCAAAGGGCCTGAGCTCCTTAACTGTTTGTTGCTCAGCCCCTGCCTGAGGGCCTGGGCCCTGAACTGGCTGTTTGCTTGTTCCACCGGTAGTGAGTCGGTGTGGCTCCCCTCCTGCCCAGGAGGGTCGAGCCCTGGCACGAACCTTCTACAGGCGTATTTGGGGTCCAAGTGTGGGGAATCTGGCTGTGCTGTTTTCCTTGCTGTACCTGTCCTGGGAATAAACAGAATCCCAAGAGGTGAGGCTGTCAGCCTGGGATTTTTCACCACCACCACGTTAAAATGTAATGTGTGGTTTTGTTTTGTTTTTTATCAGCCCTGCCATCACTGTGAACCAGGGTGAGGTGAGCAGCCCACAGCGAGTCACCTCCAGCCAGCAGCAGACTCGCATATCTGCTTCTTCAGCCACAAGAGAACTGGATGAGCTGATGGCATCTCTCTCTGACTTCAAGGTGCCCAACCCTAATAACTTCTGATCTTGTGTTCTCCACTCACTTGTCTGTCATCCATTTCTACTGACCACCTCCTCTCCTCAGATCACCCACTGCAACCGCTACTCCTTGTACCAGTCAATTCTCAGTGGTGTATTAGTGCTGTCAAAGTGCTGCTGCAGGTGTGATTGGTGTGATGAAGTCTTATATCTGGCGTGGATAATGCAGAGACTTGTAAACTAAGTTTACTGCTCTTTAGATCTGTCAGGGTTTGCCCTAGTGTAGCATTCAAAGGACTAGGCTAATCTTCTGAAGTGGTGAGCAATAGATGCCAAGTGCAGATCTCATAATGTCCAGAAGTCTCTTAGAAGCAGGGAGGATTTTCTGATGTAACTGCTGCTGTGTGTTGTACCAAGTGCTTAGCTAGCATTCAGGGGTGTTTCTCCCCATGCCAAGCACTGGATCAAGGCAATGCCTATCTCTGTCAACATCATGAGGGGAAATCCCAGCTGGTGTAGTGCCCATTTTTTTTGTTCTGATTCAGGAAAAACACTTCATTGAAATAATGACTAACTGCACCTATGTTGCCCAGCAAAACCAATTTGTACGGTGGGGATATCTTTTGTGGGGGATAGGGAGGAGTGTGACAGTGTGTGATTCACAGTGAAGTGAAATGCTTTGTTGGTAACAGATAGGAGCTGAGTTCTTCTAAGTGCAGAGTCGATTGTTTTGGTGGGTTGTAATTTAATAAGAAGAACCCATCTATTTACTGGCAAAGACCAGCCTGTGCTGCTCTGGAGGATATCTTCTTTGTTGCTCTTGATTCTTCCCAATCAAGAAGATGGGAGATGATTTTTGAGACTTCCAGGCAGATTTGGGCAGTAAAGATTTCATCTCAAAGGGCAAGAAATTTCCGGAGTTGGGTTCAGGTAAAAATGGGGTTAATGTCTAAGCCTTTTGGGGCAGGAGGATGGGAAGTGCTGCATCAACACATCTGCTGGAACATCTGAATTTTCATACTGGATCAGACCAATTATCCAGCTATTTCACTGGCTAGTACCAGTTGGTTCAGAGGAAGGTTGAAGGGGGGGGGGGGGAAGGAATAACCTGCCCATGAGGGAAGTTGCTTCCTCAGTTAGTGGTTACCTTATGACCTGGAGTGGGAGGGTTTGTATCCCTTACATAAGATTTTTATATAGATATCACACATGCTCACACAAACATTGGATGGTCTCATCCTTTCAGATGTATAGTACTTTTTCTTACAATGCATAGCTAACCTGTGGAACTCACTGCCACATGATATCATTTATGCCACAATCTTCGCAAGATTACTAAAAGATTCCATTTTATGATTTTTAATATTTTGAATTTTACTTGAATTGAATCTCTCTTCTATTATGAGTGAGGGTAAAGTAGGAGTGCCTGACTTTCCCTCTTTATAACACTCATTATTTTGTGTATTTCTACCATATCCCCCTTAAGTCTTTCTTTCCCCCTAATCCAGTAAAGTCCCAATCTTTTCAATCTGTCTTCATATGAAAGCTTCTCCAGGCCTCTGACCATTTTTGTCACCTGAATGCCCTCTGTTCCCACTGTATTTATTTATTTTAGATGAGCAACCAGAGCTCAACAAAATATTCCAGAATGGGGGAGAGGGTACCATGGATTTATGACATTAGATTTTCAGTGTTTTCATTCCTTGTGCACCCTAACATCATTTGCTTTTTTGACTGCTGCTATGCGGGGGACGGATAGCTCAGTGGTTTGAGCATTGGCCTGCTAAACCCAGGGTTGTGAGTTCAATCTGTGAAAGTGAAATGAATATTAAATAGAATGAATTAAAGAATGCTGTATGTACCTATAAGTAGAAATGAGAAATGCTGCAAGCCAGGGGGCAGGAAAGCAGACATTAACTGCTTAATGAATTGCC